ATAGTGTATTAGGTGAAGCGAACTTACCCGTGGTGGACGTCCAGGGAATCCAGGTGCTCCATCAGCTCCGGGTCTTCCAGGTCTTCCATGTTTGCCTGGTTTTCCAGGAGTACCGGGCTCGCCAGGAAGACAGCAGCCTAGTCAAAGTTATACTATTAGTAAATTAATTTTGTCGCTTCATTTCTTAACAATTTCTTAAGAAATCGTGGAATCGGCATGTCTATGTTGCTAATTGCAGGTTTCTAACGGAATATCCATTCAAATCCTTTGATCACTAAATTATTAAAAGAGAGCTTGGAAAGTTATGATGACTTTTAGAAGAATTATTAACAGGATATTGTGTTTTTCGTCCACGATATTCAGCTAAATTGACGAAAAAATATAAGATGCAAGTGTTTGCAGACTTATGATGCTTAGGCACACTCAATCCTTGTACAAAAAAACCCGCTAGAGTTTTTTTTTTCATAGTTCAACCAAAATTTTTTATCTTAGGCTCCCATATAAATTACTCACCAGCGCATCCTGCCTGCCTCTTCTCCCTAAGTTCGATGGTTACATTACGATGTGCAAGTGCTTCTCCATCTACCCAACGCAAGGGGGAGTCCGTCTGAACCATTGGCACCACAAGCTGACGGATTTCTTCCAAGGATTTCTGCAATTACGCAATTCCATTACCACCTCGAGAGTTTACCGAGCCGACTGACTTGGCAGTCGTCCAAATCGCGTTCCACGGTGTTTCTTATAGAGGTGTTGTAGTTATTTGCCATCGGTATGGTGATAGCTATAGCCATGATAGCAATTAGGGTAAACGCTGTAGCGGTGTAGGTAACCAAGCAGAAGACTTTATCCCGAGCTTCATCCATCCTTAAGCATGTATATATAGGCTGTTGGAATTGTTGCCATTCTTATAAAGTATTTACATTAACTGGAACAAACATCAGATGTATTTAGATGGAAATTACTCTTTCACGAAACATGACTTCGAGATAAGCCAAACCACGGTCGAATATTTTTTCTTAGTTTTAATTTCTTAGGAAAATTTTAAGAGAAAGAGTCTGATTCAAAAAAAGTGAAATTGTCACAATGAATACAATGCTCCCTCCTCTCACCTTTTATAGTTCTTTGCTGTAATAAACAATGTTCCATGGCTTCGTCCACAACATAGTTGCAGTTTTGTTAACTCAAAACAACAGCTCAAGGTTGCTTGAGTTCTTAAGAATAAAAGAAAAGTTATAGAAAATGATTTGAAATTTTCAGGTCATCAGCTCTTATAATTTGAAATTCACAGTAACAGATAAAAGAGTTACGTTGATGAAAAGTAATGTCGCAGTTTCCAAAAATTCTTCTTTCTCTTTCTATACAAAACTGTAACCTTGTTCAGTCTAAATGGATTCCATGACCTGTTGCTAATGGATACCGCTAATTAGAACCTCCTTCATATGTTAAATTTTTACTGATAGAGGAATGCTTCTTGGCCTTCTTCATGATGTATACCATTAAAGGCGGCTTGAGACGCCGATTACAATTGTTCTTCGCCTGCGAAATACTTTTCTATAAAAATTATAGGATTTTTACCTTCAATTACGGCCCAAAACGACAAGAAATCATCTATCGAGGTTGAAACTTCCATAAAGGGGAAGAACTTGGATTGCTGAATTACATTGTAATTTAAAATGAGATTGTGCATCGGTATATGTGTGTTCTATTTCTGCCACAGAAAACGTTGCAGAACTTTTGAAGGAGTTATGCAGGTAGAATGCAGATTTGGAGTTACCGCTTCAAGACATGAGTATTGGTTCTACATGCCCACTCTGCAGGAGGTGCTGACATTTTAATCCATAGATACAGTTGTGGATTTGACTTCTTAAGGCAGTAAAATCTCGGTACACGCACTTATGGGCGAAGTGGACTATCGCTCTCCCTTGCTGTAGTGCTGTTTAGACCTCTCCCAAGCACTTTACAGTATATCGACCTCAAGCTCATTATCACGATTAACAGAATCCTTAGCGTTTGAATGCCAGAGGAGTCTTTCTGTTGGTGTTCGGGAGTCGAGCATTTGCGAAAAGAATGATCTAAAGAAGCCGTGGAGCTGAGTGGTCAAACTCCTTTGAGTAAACACTATATTGTGTACTGCTTTTCCAATAATCTTTCATTTTTGTTAGAATGAAGAAGCTAAAGGCTAGATTGATCACGTGCAAGACACAACGAATACTGTAAGGGTTATTTGGTAAATTGTTAATAAGAATACTTAGTCGAGGTGGATGATTGTTAATCACTATTAATGCAGTATGGAACGGTAAATCCAAATCTGTGTTCTGTATTAAGAAGCGATTTCCTGGAAAAGTTATAAAGGTTTTTCGATTGAAAGATATGTTGCACAATCTGCAGATAAAGTCACAAAGCCGCGCAGTAGTTGAACATTGTTGGGATGACATCCATATATTAATATAATACTCCTGGTCTCGTTGTTCTAGATCCATTTTGTTCGAGGTCGATTATTAACGGGCTGTAAAGGCTATTTTAGGCAGACGCTTCGCACAGAAGACACTTTTGGGATCAGCGTTTCAAGGTCTATCAGTGTGTACCCCTTCTTAAATCGCCCCTACGATGAGATCGCGAAACATTGCCACTCTTAGACATACAAACTGGTTGCTCAGTTTGGAGCGAGAACTCTATTAAAGCATTTCTGCACTTTTACTCTTACTTTTGCAGAATAGAATAAATAAATATTGAAGAAGTATTTAGCATTAGCAAATTTTAATAACATACAAAGAAAGATTTCTCTGGTACAGACAATTCCTTTCGAAATTTTTAGTCTGTCAATCGATTTTCACATCCGTGACCGAATTGGCTCCTGCTACTGAGTCAAGGCCGATGTCCACAATGCGAGACATGCATTTAGAACAAATGTCCAGTTTCCGAAAAAGATGGATTGAGTAATTATCAACTCGAACTTCAATTTATGCAAGGGAAAATGTCTGTTTATTATATGCGGAATGAATGCATACATTTGAGTCTAAGCAATAGCCAGTTTCTTCTTTCCGCAGTCAGGGATAAAATTTGAATTGAACATTTACATATATTAGTCATCCCATTCATTACTGGAATAGAAACTAATGATACTTTTCATAACAAGCCTAACAAATACGGATAAATTCAATCTCCATCCATAAGAAGTTCAAAAATTAAGATTAGACTTTTATTAAAAATAAAATTAGAAGAAATAAATGACGTTTATAAGTTTGCTGATAGCAATGCCGATATGGTTCTAACTGATGTGAAAGCTAACAAAGTGATAGAATCATACAAAAAAGAGCTACTCCAACATTTGCCCTTTGTGATTTTATAGAATTTGTGAATTTTCTAAACTCCTACCTAACAGGGTCCGTTACGTGCTTATAACTCATGTCATATCTGTTACGCACAGTAGGCACTTACTGTAGGACTACGATAGGTAAAGGATAGACAGAAGAAGTAAGTTAGCTAAAAAATTATAACTCATCAACCTAACTACGAAAATCACAACATATCCTGCTCGATAAGACCTTCCTCCAAGTTAAGGAAGATTAAAAGTGATTTTACTATAACAAAGGGCAACTGTACAAGACAGTGTTGCCTTGGTATTCATATCACAAAGGCATTTGTAAATTGGATATCAAGGCAACCACTTTTCAAACAGTCATTTTCATTCACAAATAAGTTTCGTTTTAAATCTTTACTATCTTAATTTTTTCGACAGTGCATCTGAGACAGTTTCGCAACCATCTGTGCTTACCATCCTTACCCTAAGTTTCCACAGTGCTACAGATTTGATACT